TGAGCCTAAGGATGATTCATCTCGATTTCATCTCAAAATGGCAGCTGAGCTTTTCATGTACTGATGATTATTGACTTTGAAACATTCACATGATGATTTTGATGATGTTGTACTTTGTTAAGGAAAATCTCATCATCTGCTACTGTTTTTAAGGTGTGATGAGAAGTCCCTTGAGGACTCATTATGCAAGCGTGTGATTGTGACACGGGATGAAAGCATAACGAAATGGCTTGATCCTGATTCTGCAACTGTGAATAGAGATGCGCTGGCTAAAATTGTTTATTCAAGATTATTTGATTGGTGGGCACAATGCCCTCTACTACTTGCTCATTATATCTCTCACCTCATCAAACTTTCTCTTGCTTTACCTAGTCTCTGATTTTGTTTAATGTGTTGGACACTTGTTGCCTCAGGCTTGTGAACAAGATTAATAATTCTATTGGTCAAGATCCTGATTCAAAATCCATAATCGGGGTTCTGGATATTTATGGATTTGAGAGTTTCCAGACAAACAGGTGCTTAACCGGTACGCTTTTGTTTTCTTCATTTACATATGTTATTTCTTGTTGCAAATTGCATTGTTCCCTGTGCTTTCAGTCATGGGGGATGTTTAACTAAGAAAGGTTTTCATGTGATGATGCCATTTGAATGTTGATCTCATGAGTGTATGTGTTTTATTAAAATTTCTATTCAAGTGATTTGGTTGTTTATTGTAATGCTTGCATGCCAGTGTATGAAGCACTTCATGGAATTTTTAAATGTGAATAAGTCCTGTTTTCTCTTTTAAAATGTCAATCATTCCATGTATTCAGTTGAATTTTGTTCACTTTATTTTCAAAGCTCATACTCTTGTTTTGTGGACCTATATGCAGCTTTGAACAGTTTTGTATCAATTTGACAAATGAAAAGTTGCAGCAGCATTTCAACCAGGTTTGTGCAGTATATTACATGGTGGCACTGTGGGGTACCCATGGAACTGTTAAACTGTTTATTTGACATCATTATTTTCTCTGACAGCATGTGTTCAAGATGGAGCAAGAAGAATATACCAAGGAAGAAATTGAGTGGAGTTACATAGAATTCATTGATAATCAGGATGTTCTTGATCTCATTGAAAAGGTTTGCTAGTTGTTCTTGTGTTAGCTTGCAACCTGAAGCAAAGAATATTGAAGCTTAATACGGAAATTCTGCTCTGTTTGTTGCATAAGTGAATAACTAAGCGGATAATAATTAGTCGGGAAGAAAAGCAAAGATCAGGAGTATTTTCCTTTATCATTTCATAATCTTTTTTGAAACAGTAAAGATCCATATTCTTGGAACTTCAGATATTTTTCTTTTGTTTCTTTTTGAAAGAAAAAATGTAAGCTGTAGATTAGTTCTATAACATCATGGGGGTGCAACCCATTTACAAAATATTTATAGATGAGTAAGCCTGTCAATGACATATCCAAAATCCTCTTTCCCATACATGTCATGATCCAGAATCAAAAACCCGAAAATAATGTAACTACCTACCCTGATTTTCAAAATATCACTCTCAACTCCCTCAAAAACTCTTTTGTTCATATCTTTCCACACCACCCAAAAAATAGTTAACGGAATAAGATTTACATTTTTTTTTTTTCCAAATACCTCCCCAAGCCCAAGTCTCCTCCCTTATTGGACCCTCTACAACCCAGTTAATCCCAAACAATTCATACACCATTGACCAAAGATGATAGGCCATCAGGCGCCATAAAAGTATGTGATTACAAGATTCATTCACTCTCTTGCAAAGGTAAAAACCATTTCACCATATTTCTACCCCTTCTCATCAATTTGTCACCGGTCAAAAGTGCAGTTTCTACTCGCTTTCCAAGCAATAAAAGCAATTTTTGGCAGAGCCTGCGCCTTCTAAATCTGTCTAGCTGGAAAGTAATTTAAACTTGTCTCGCCCTCACCATGCAAATGGTTGTAAAATGACTTGACAGTAAGTTCATCATTCTCCTTCAATTTCCACAATGGTTGATCTCTGTTAGTATTCACATGAACAGCAGACAGTATGTTTAATAATACTTTAGACACTTCTAACTTCCAGTCATTAAGATTCCTTGACACAAAAACTGCCCACTCCCCACTCTCACTCCCCCCACCATAAGCATTCTCAACTGACATGTTCTTGGAAGCAATGGCATAAATCTGTGAAAACTGCGTCTTGAAACTCCCCCTACCAATTTAATTATCCATCCAAAAATGGATTCTATTCCCCCCTGCCCAACTTCCATCTAACACAATCCTGAAACTTTGGATATTTTTCTTATTATCACTAATTTGATTAGTGTACCAAAATAGGGGTTTGATACTGATTTTTAAAGTTATTTCAATGCCATGATTACTAGTGTTGGTTGTTTGATTCATCATACATGGAAAGGAATATGATGGGGTATTTCTAAGGATAATAAGAGGATGGTGTAAATGAATGGGCATGGAATTAGCACTTGGGCGTAGACCCAGAGTTTGACTCTTCCTTCTCAATATTGTTTTCTATTAAAACAAATTACCTTTGGCTTTTCCAGTGGAGTAATGGACGATGCTTTCTATTTTTGATAATGAAGGACAATTTGTCTTTAAATTCTAATTAATACTAATTGTTGGTTTTGGATGTTTGCTTTCTAATAGCTCTTAATAGGTCTTGCTATCATATCTTCTATCTAATATCTATTTCTGTAATGTCAGAAGCCAGGTGGTATCATTGCCCTTCTGGATGAAGCTTGGTATGTATTGGAATATCACTAGAATATCAGACAATTGTTTATTTAAGATATCAATCGATATAACTATATTTTAATTTTCCCCCTTGGCTCCTTGTATATGAAATTTCTTTTCCCTTAAGATACATGTATGTGTTTTTATGTGTGTGTATATTCATTTTTTTTCCTTTCTTTGTTTTCTGCTGTAAGATATTGACGAAACTACTATTATGCTCTGCAGTATGTTTCCTAGATCAACAAATGAAACATTTTCCCAAAAACTTTACCAGACGTTTAAGGACCATAAACGGTTCAGCAAGCCAAAGTTGGCACGGACTGACTTCACCATTTCTCACTATGCTGGTGACGTAAGTATCTCTTATCATATTGAACCACAAACTAATAATTGTGGCTTCAGTAATTATAAATTACTCATTCTTTATTAAATTGGTGGATCTACTTTTATTGTAAAATTGTTTACTTCATAGGAATATTTTTTTTCTTCTTACTTTTAGGTTACATACCAGACTGAGTACTTCTTGGATAAAAACAAAGACTATGTTGTTGCAGAGCATCAAGCTCTCTTAAGTGCTTCCAAGTGCCACTTTGTTTCAGCTTTATTCCCACCTTTACCTGAGGAATCTTCAAAGACATCGAAGTTTTCATCAATAGGTTCTCGGTTCAAGGTCTGAATTTGTCCTAATCTTGGGTATACTGCAAACTATCTTCTTTATCTTTGTAGTTTACTTTTATTCTTATAATGTTCTATATACAGCAACAACTGCAAGCTTTGCTTGAAACGCTGAGTGCCACTGAGCCGCACTATATACGTTGTGTGAAGCCAAATAACGTTCTTAAGCCAGCAATTTTTGAGAACAATGATGTTTTGCAACAGCTTAGATGTGGGGTAAGCTCTAACATTTTGGTCAATTTAGGAGCTGGTATTGTTGAGTGTTTTTGCTACATTCTTTACTCATGGTACATAAATCTTATACAGGGAGTCATGGAGGCTATTAGGATCAGTTGTGCTGGGTATCCCACTAGAAAGCCTTTTCAGGAATTTATAAGTCGTTTTAGCGTCCTGGCTCCAGAAGTTCTAGATGGGAGGTAGTGTACTAAATTAACAATTTCAATTCAAAATTTTTATGTTTGGAGATTTTTATCAAAATTCCACCCTTTGTTATTTTGTTCGTAGAAATATCAGTGTACCTCAATCTTTTAGCATCAATTTGCATCCTAGCTAGTATCATATAAGGATCTTTCTGAATAAACAGATAAAATCAGAGTAAATCGTCACATTTATGATGTGTGAATTGATTAGCTTGTTATATGGCAATATCAAGTGATTGTATTTGAGTTTATATGTTGAGGGATTAATTTAGCAACGATGTTTCTTTCTTTCTTTCCATCTTTTGTTTGTCTGTTTTTATGTAAAAATGGAAAAAAATAAGTACCTTTTGAAATGTCAAGCTATCATCAGGTCACAGATATGATGTTATGAAGAAGTAGGCATACCACACGTATCAATCTCATGTTATCTCTATTACCAATTTGTTTGACAGTCTTTCCAAAAGAGCAGTCTGTTCAACAGAAGATCCTTAATTTTGTCATGAACTATCAGTTCAAGAGTTTTAGCAATTAAAAATTTCATGTTTAGTTTTATATTATGATAATGCACCTTTCGAGTTTGACACCACAGCCCCTTCAATCCCAACATCCTCTCCACCCCCCGCCACCCCGCCCCCCGAAAAAAAAGAAACAAAAACCAACTTTTGCCTTTTCTAATTCCCATTCTGTTTTTTTACTCTCTTTTGTTGTTATTTCCTGATAGCTGTGATGAGGTCACTGCTTGTAAAGGGCTTCTGGCTAAGGTGAACCTTAAAGGTTACCAGGTATTTATTCTTTTCATTATTTTATTGCTTTTCTAAATTATTTGGCTGCTTTTTGCCTTTCATAGTGCCTTTGTGATCTCTGTAACTGTTTCTACTGTTTCTATTGCTGGATGTTATCTTTATATCCATGAAGGCATGGGTTTTATTTGACCATGTTACTGCTTAATTTTCTTCAACAATATACACAAAAATATTCTTATTTACTGCTACTGCAGATTGGCAAAACAAAGGTCTTTCTCAGGGCTGGTCAGATGGCAGAACTAGATGCTCATCGTACGGAGCTTTTAGGTAAATCAGCAGGCATTATACAGAGAAAAGTTCGCTCACATTTGCATCGTAAAAGCTTTATCATGTTGCGGTCCTCTGCCATACAAATCCAAGCCTTATGCAGAGGTAACTCATAGCTTTACATGTATGAATGCTGGAAAACGTATTTAGTTTAGGTATACTGCTTTGATTTTTTAAATAAATTTCACTTTTGTGTATATTCTCTCTAAATTGATTGCAGGGCAAGTAGCACGGCATCAGTACGAGCACATGAGGAGAGAAGCTGCCTGTGTGATGATTCAAAAGCAGTCACGATCATATCTTGCAAGCAAAGCTTACAAGAAGTTG